CACCAAGCCACGAAGGATCCACACCCATGATCCAAACACCTCTCACCAGGTCCACCGCCAGCATTGGGGATTACAATTCAACATCAAATTTGGACGGGGACACATATCCAAACTCTATCAAGGGGCTAATCAGGTGAGGAGATAGACATCTTCCCTGAACTTGAGGGAAGCAAATGATGCGAACTTCCTAGACCTTGCACCCTATGTCCCAGAGTCAAGACCCGCTCCTCAACTACTCTGCTCAACTGTTGAGCCCACCCACAACTCACATTAGTAGTTCTCACCTTCCCCAGCCTGGATACCAGGGAGGTTGCTGTTTTCCCAAGTCTTGCCTTGTTTTGCTGCCCCTGAGGACAAGCATTAAGGCCCTCTTCTTTTTAAAGGATTTAATGCAAATATGTGGAGAGGTAGAGCGAGAGCAACTCAAATAACACAGCAGAAGTTTTAAAGATGATCATTAATACATCGTTCTTACACTTCCTGACCAAGGTCCACAGTTGCTGACTTCCTACAGAGATGGCAACTGGAACCCAGGTCCTCTTCTGCCTTCTGCTTTTATTTTTATGTGAGGGTGCATCAGAATCCATTCTGATACGCTTTCATTTATAAAGACCCTTCCTTCCAGCAGGACAGTAAGTGTTCCTTAGTCTCAACTTATGTGCGTTGGACTAAAAATGCAAACATTCTAAATATCAGCAAACTGAATCTAGCAATGGATACAGGAAATAAAATAATGTGACCAAATGGAATGATCTACAGGTTTGTTTGGTTTTTCTTTTTAACTTTGTAATATGGTTTGAATTTGTGTCCCCTCCCAAATCTCACGTCAAATTGTAATCCTCAATGTTGGAGGTGGGGCCTGGTGCAGGTGATTGGATCTTGGTGGAAGATTTCCCCTTTTTGTGTTGTTTTCGTGATAGTGAGTGAATTCTCATGAGATCTGATTGTTTAAAAGTGTGTGGCACCTCCCCATTCTCTCTTCCTCCTGCTCTGGCCATGTGAAGAACGGGCTCCCCCTTCACCTTCCACCACGACTGTAAGTTTCCTGTGGCCTCCCCCGAAGCCACTATGATTTCTGTACAGCATGCAGAACGGTGAGCCAATTAAACCTCTTTTCTTTATAAATTACCTAGTGTCAGGTATTTCTTTACAGCAATGCAAGAATGGAATAATACACTTATCAGTATCAAAATTATTATGGCTTTACAAAAGAATTGAGAAGACCAGTCACTGTGGCTCATGCCTTTAATCCCAGCACTTTGAGAGGCTGAGGCAGGAGAATTTCTTGAGCCCAGGAGTTTGAGATCAGCCTGGGCAACCATAGTAAGACTACAAAATAAAACATAAAACATTTAAAAAATTTAGCTAGCTATGGTGGTATGCACCTATAATCCCAGCCACTTGGGAGGCTGAGGAGGGACGGTCCCTTGAGCCCAGGCACTGATAGCTGCTGAATGCTATGATGGCACCAGTGTACTCTAGCCTGGGTGACAGTGTGAGACCCAGTCTCTAAAAATGTTTTCTAAAAAGAATTGGGATTGTTAGATTATATGGTAGCTGTATTTTAAGTTTTTTGAGGAATTGCCAAATGGTTCTCCTTAGTGGTCATACTAATTTACATTCCTACCAACAGTGTACAAGGGTCCCCTTTTCTCTACATCCTCACCAGCATTTGTGATTGCCTGTCTTTTGATGTAAGCCATTTTAACTGGGGTGAGATGATATCTTATTGTAGTTTTGATTTGCATTTGTCTGATGATCAGTGATGTTGAGCACATTTTCATATGCCTGTTTGCCATTTGTGTGTCTGTTTTTCAGAAATGTCTATTCAAATATTTTGCCCAATTTTTGATCATTTTATTAGATTTTTTTTTCCTATAAAGTTGTTTGAGCTTTTTATATTTTCTGGTTACTATTCTCGTCAGATGGGTAGTTTGCAAATATTTTTCCCATTCTGTGGGTTGTCTCTTCATTTTGTTGATTGTTTCCTTTGCTGTGTAGAAGCCTTTTAACTTGATGTGATCCCATTTGTCCATTTTTGCTTTGGTTACCTGTGCTTGTGGGGTATTGCCCAAGAAATTTTTGCCTAGACCAATGTCCTGGAGATTTTCCCAATGTTTTCTTGTATTAGTTTCATAGTTTTAGTTCTTAGATTTAAGTCTTTAATCCATTTTGATTTTTGTATATGCGAGAGATAGGGGTCAAGTTTCATTTTTCTGCATATTGATATCTAGTGTTCCCAGCACCATTTATTGAAGAGACTGTCTTTTCCCCAGTGTATGTTCTTGGCACCTTTGTTGAAAATGAGTTCACTGTAGGTGTATAAATTGTTTCTGGGTTCTCTATTCCATTCCATTGGTCTATGTGTTTGTTTTTATGCCAGTATCATGCTGTTTTGGTTACTGTAGCTCTGCAGTATCATTTGACATTAGGTAATGTGATTCCTTTAGTTTTTTCTTTTTACATAGGATAGCCTTGGCTATTCTGGTGGTTCCATATAAATTTTGTGGTTCTATATAAATTTTAGGGTTTTTTTTTTCTATTTCTGTGAAGAATGTCATTGGTATTCTGATAGGGATTGCATTGACTCTGTAGATTGTTTTGGGTAGTATGGACATTTAAAAAATTGATTCTTCCAACCATAAACATGGAATATCTTTCCATTTTTTTGGAGTCCTTTTCAATTTCTTTCGTTGGTATTTTGTAGTTTTCATTATAGAGATCTTTTACTTCTTTAGTCAATTCCTAGGAATTTATTATAATTTTATTTCTGGCTATTTTAAGTGGGTTTACTTTTCTGAATTCTTTTTTATATTGTTCACTGTTGGCACATAGAACTGCTATTGATTTTTATAGGTTGACTTTGTATCCTGCAACTTTACTAAATTTATCAGATCTGGGTTTTTTTTTGGTGGAGTCTTTAGGTTTTTTCAAACATAAGATTGTATCATTTGCAAACAAGTATAATTTGACTTCTTTCTTTACAATTTTGGATGCCCTTTATTTATTTGTTTGATTGCTCTAGCTAGGACTTGCAGTACTATGTTGAATAACAGTGGTGAACATGGGCATCCTTATTGTGTTCCAGATCTTAGAGGAAGGGCTTTCAGTTGTTCCCCATTCAGTATGATACTAGCTACGGGTCTGTTGTATATGGCTTCTATTATGTTGAAGTATCTCCCTTCTATACCCAAATTTTTGAGGGTTTAACAATTGATTTTTGAGCACTTTTTTTTTTTTACTGTCTTCTGTGGTGATCATTGTACACAAATTTTTCACTTCTTTTTATGCTCAGTTGATTGTATGCTTATATAGGAAATAATGCATTCAAATGTGCTGAATGCATTATTCACAGAGTGACGTGGTTTATAATTTATATATTTAATTTCATCTGTATTTGTGGTTATTTCTCTTTTATCATTTCTAATTTTTTATAATTTTGCTCTTCTCCTTTTAATCAGTCTCAAAAGATTTATCTATTTTGTTCTTTAAAAGAAACAAGTTCTTTATTGACTTCAAACCTTCTTTTTGCCGTATGTTTTATTTTTCAGCTTTCATCTATGTATTTATTCTTCCTAGTTGCTCTTTTTTTTAATAAGAATTACAATTTTTCTATCTTCCTTAAGTAAATAATTGGTTCATTTTTATTTCTCAAAGTCAGGTTCTTAATCTGATAAATCCTTCTCTGAGTGTAGCTTTCTTATCTTGTACAGTTTGCAATTAAAGTGTTCTCCTTATCATTCTTTTCTAGAAATTTAGAAATTTCTGTTTTGGTTTCTTTTTGTTTAGGAGTGAACTTTTGGACATTTAATAGTAATTTTGTCTCCATTATTGACTTCAGTGGGTTTGTTTTTTATGTTATTCTGCAATATCTAATGAAAATATCTAAGTATTCATCTGCCTGCCCGTTAAGTGCAGTAAACCGTGATACCTCACATTCATGCATTACTTCTACATTTCAGTCACTCTTTCTATAATTTTTTTTTAAAATTACATCTTTCTTCCATGTGAAACTTTAGGGGAAAGTTAAAATATTTAAAACATGTTTGTGGGCTGGGCACGGTGGCTTGAGCCTGTAATCCCAGCATTTTGGAAGGCTGATGTAGGTGGATCACTTGAGGTCAGGAATTCAAGACCATCCTAGCCAACATGGTGAAACCTCGTCTCTACTAAAATACAAAAATTAGCCAGGCATGGTGGCACACTCCTGTAGTCTCAGCTACTCGGGAGGCTGAAGTAGGAGAAATGCTTGAACCCTGGAGGTGGAGGTTGCGGTGAGCAGAGATTGTGCCACTGCACTCCAGCCTGGCATCTGGTGACAGAGCAAGACACTGTCTCAAAAAAAAACCAAAAACAAAATTTGGCCAGGCATGGTGGCAGATGCCTGTAATCCAAGCTACTAAGGAGGCTGAGGCAGGAGAATCACTTAAACTCAGGAGGTGGAAGTTGCAGTGAGCCCAGGTCAGGCTACCACAATCCAGCCCGGGCAACAGAGAGAGACTCCAGCTCAAAAACAAAAACAAAAACAAAACAACAACAAAAATGTTCATGTTCTTCCACTGTTCTTCTCCTGGTTCCTCTCCCTCTTCTTTTTCTATGACCATGCACTTCATCAAGCTGAAACAAATCTGTGTGCTGGGTCACTGGAGAGCTGAGTAAACACAGGGACATAGTACCCCAAGTAAGCACTGAAAACGAGGGACATACGGTGACTCTAAGATGTGCACATCACCTATTTGGCTTCTGTTTTGCAGTAGTGAAAGCTCTAGTTGGCTGTACTAGGAAATGAATTTTAAAAGGGGTAGGCGGAGTGGAGGTGTAGACCCGTGTTTGAAGGAAGTAGTCTTGCAGTTCTGAATGTTGAGGATCTGGGATAACAGACCAAGCAGACAGGAACTGGCCAAAATGGAAATGTTCAAGCAGAGGCAGTGTAGCCCTCTATCAAGAATACTCTGGAGAGCCAGAGGGGCTGGGGGGACAGGACACCTGTAGGGAATCTCTGTTTCTTCTCAGAGTCATATGTGTAATTATTTAGCAGGAACAAAGAAAACAAGAAGGAAATTCTCTTTCCTCCTTCTCCAGCTCATCTCTGGTTCTGTTCAGCTCAAGTCAATTTCACAGTCCCATTTGTCCTCAGCTTATGGTTGACCAATCTTAGGAAGAAAACCTTTGGAACTGAAAACCTCAACTGGCCATCGTAAAAGGGCAGACAAGCCTGAAGCTGGTGTATGTTTGTTCAGGGAAGGGGCATAGCCTACAATCTTAGAATGTGCAAGAAAAAAAAATATATATATATGTAAAATGTTCTTTAAAACCACCTCCTCCCTGTTCTGAGCCCCATCTCCTCAAGTCAGGGGGGAATGTCACCTGAGTTCTGACTGGGATGCTCTCCACCTCCAGAGTGGATCTGCCTTCGGGACAGCTGTATCCTCGATGTCTCTGACAGCATAGCATTGTCCAGACCCAGAACATCCCTAAAGTCCTCGGCTTTCTGCTTTCTGCTTTCTGCTCAGGCCATGGGACCTCAGGGCCCCCTATGCCAGGCTCCCCATGTGTGTCCCCAGCCACCTCTTCTGAGGTCTGCATGACACTTGCAGGCCCACAGACCACCTGTTATGCCTGTCACCTCTCCAGCCTGCCTCCTAGACACCCAGGGTCGTCTCAGCAGTGGGGACAGTACCCACAATGCCCCCCCCCGACCCCTGCCACAGCCACAATTTCTTCCAGGCTGCTTCTTTGTTTCTCCTTGACAACTTTCTGGGATAAAGGCTGCAAGCTCCAAAATCCTACTTGAAATAGCAAAAAGAAAGAAGAAAATATGAATTAACATTTCACGAATATTATGCCCTACAAATCAGACAACCTCCTTCGCATCTAGTGCAAATGTGATTTCCTTGTTCACTCATTCCCTCATTGAATTGAAATGTATTGAGGGCCTCTTGCATGCTGGGATGGTGGTCACGTCCTCCCAGCTGAACTCTCAGTGTAGCACTTTCCCACGGGGCATCACTTGTATGTGTCCTTGCCTCTCTTTTGCTCTGCTCCTCTGGACCACAGGGGAGTTGAGTTCCGCATTGTGGCATTCATGACCTAGAACTAGACATTCTTTATTCTAGAATATAACAATAAATATTGATAGGTAGGCAGGACAGACGAGATCCCAAGAGAAGGAAGGATGGCAACACTCAACCAGAAGGGAGCATTGTTCTCCAGAAGTCCAGGGAAAAATCATGTTAAAATGAAATGAAATTTACCCTATTCCTGGAACAGCTTAATGAGTGAGGAGCCTTTGTGCAAACTTAGCCAATAAGGTTTTATCTGGGAGATATTGTTTCTTCTTATTCCACATTCCCTAAGTGACAATTGTTAATGTGTATTGTGTCTAGCTGTATATTATTAATACTGTGCAAGGTGCTCAATCTGCTTTGTTAGGGTTCTCCTGAGAAACAGCACCAACATCAGGAGATATCAATACACACAGACACTCACACACAAATACACCCATGCACACGCACACACACATGTACATGCACGCGTGTGCACGCACACACACATCCTTTTCGCTCACAAGCTGGAAACCCAGGAAAGCTGAAGGCCTGAGAACTTGGGGAGCCAATGATGTTCACCCCAGTTCAAGGCAGGAGAAGATGAGATGGGACATCTGAGCTCACAGGCAGGAAAGAAGGGACGAATTCCTCTGTGCTCTGCCTTTTGCTCCCTTCAGGCCCTCAGTGACCAGGATGATGGCCACCCCCATAAGGGAAGGCAGCCCACTGAGTCCACCAATCCAGATGCCAATCTCACCTGGAAACAGCCTCACAGAAACGCTCAGAAACAGTGCTTAATCCAGGCAACCAGTGGCCCACTCAAATTAACACATAAAATTAACCATCACATGTGTGGAACTGTTTAAATCCTCCAAACCATTCTGTAAAGTTGGTACTAATGCCATCATCCCCATTGAACAAGTGGTGAGTCCAGGAGCTGGGCGTGAGCCCCTGAGGTCCTGGGCCCTGGCCACGTTGCAGGGTTGCTATGGGATGTTGCCCACCTGTTCCCACTGCCTGCCTACCCAGTTCTCTAGCTGGAAGCAGATTATTCTTCACCTCTGGGAAGGTGCACCAGGGAATGCTGCCCCTCAAATACCCCAGAAAAGTGCAGAACTGAGCAGGTCTCAAAAGACAAGGTGAACATTTTTCTCCATGTTTCAGCCATGTGTGTTGTTCCAGAAGGTCAGGAACTAATTTTCCTAGATTAGATGATTTAAGAATAAAAACAAGTGTGATGCTGTGGACTCAAAACAGGAAGAGGCTCCCCTAATAAATACAGACTGGGGTTCCCACAATGGGTTTTGAGAAATGTTAGTCCCGTGAAACGCCTTTTAAGGGATGCATGGCATCCTTTACCACTCTCTTGGAAATTCCCAATGTTGAAAGCCCTGAGAAATCTCAATAAAGAATCCTGTTTAACCTAGCACTTCTCCTCCCAATTAGATCATGGGACATTCTCTCCTTTTATAAAGAAGACTTTTAACATCTCATAGCATTTATTTTGGAAAACATCAGACTAGACCAATCCTGACCAAAAGGAGGATACAAGGCATGTAGTGTGGTCATTCTGAGCATCTCATCTGTCCTGACCAGATGGGGACCTGCCAGACAGAACTTGGAGAGGAATCCCTGGCTGCATCCAACAGTGAAGTGTGGCTGTGCTTCCTAAGTGGGCATTGTGTGCTCTACACCCACTCCCTGCATGCTTAGAAGGCCCCTTGGTGCTGGGTTTGAATGTGGGCCATGGACCCCCAGGAGGGCCTCAGGGCCTTCTAACTGCCCATGACACGTACGCAGCAGAACAAAGTGGAGACATGAAGGACTGGGGCAGCTGTCATAATTCAAGTGTTCTGTTCTCTCTCTAGACACCCAAGAAAAAAGCCAGTGACTGTTCCTGAGAGTGCCTGTTAAGAGCTGGCTTTTTGGCTGTGGTGAGCAGTCAGTCATGACCACTCCTCTGAGAGCAAGACGTGGAAACCCCACCCAGTGGGCTTTTCAGAAACCCTCTCACCAACCTCAAGGCCTTTGGATCTTATATCTAACAAATTACATTTTACATTATTTTTTAAAAAACAGGTTAGTGACAACTAAGACAGTCTCTCCGCAATTACAGCCTGAGGTCAGAGTGAGAAAATCCCCTGTTCCTTGGGAACTCCCACGTCACTCATTCTGCATTAATGATATTTATTCTCCCTCAATGTTTTATTCTTAAAAAATGGCTCCCCTGGTTGCAATGTTATGTTAAGCATATTACATGTTACTCCAAAGTCAGTTCATATATTATAGCTCGGCCCACTCCTGGGTATACATTTCTGAATAGCTCTCACTCCACAGTTCCAGTTCCACATTAAATATGGGCTGCCATGAGTGGAGCCTGAAAGGGTTGTCCATTCCATTCCCACTTCTTGTTTTCCCTGGGAGTATTTTCCCCTTCTATTTTGTACTCCTCAGGGAAGATGTGCCCTCCAGTAAGGAAAGTCTATCTGGGGAAAGTAGGAAATATTCTTGCTCTAGAGTTTTCTTGAGGGAAGGTGAGAAGTGGCAGCTGTTTGACAGAGTGTTTGCAGTCTTCCAGGGTCGGCATGGGTTTGGCACATGAGTGGACACCCTGACTTAGGGGATGTGGGATGCCAGGAACCATCAAGATCATTGGAAAAAAGCCAAAATCTTCTTCCTACTACAACACGAACGTCAAAATGAGTTTTCGTCTTCTGTGGCTATCATGGGCTTGACCATCTTGTGTTGTGGGGTCACTAACAGACGGTTTCAGGGATTTTGTGGGAGGTAATCCTTTTAGTCACTTCAACAGAATCCACCATGACAATCTAGTTTTATTTCCGTTTGCTGCCGGATCCAAGCGTAAGGCTCTAATGACCCACCAGCTTCTTTCTTTGTTTCATTCATTCATTCACTCAATTAATATATATTATGCATTGGGTTTCATCCAGTTCATCAGTGATCATGAAAAAAATCCGATATACTCATCATCCTGTGGTCTGTGGCGAGGTCCACAGGCCTTGGGACAAAGTCCTCCTGTGCCATCTCCAGATGCAGTCCTCACGTGGCAGATGCCAGGCAGCAGCAATAACCCTTCCCTCTGGTGTGGCTCATCTAAGTGGCAAATAAGCAAAAATAGCCTGTGTGTCACACCCAAGGGGGCTTATGAAATGATTCTCAGTGGGCCCCAAAGGCTCTCCAAAGGTGAATAAGTCAAGAGCCACTTTCCTCCTATGCAACTTTGCCAGTTCTGATTTCCCCTCATACTTTCGATTATCTTAGCCATTGCCCAACACGATGTGACGAGCCCCAGGCACCTCTCTTTTTTAAGATAAGAGGGAATCTTCAGAGGAAAAGTGACTGCAACAGGGCCAGGGCACAAGGGTCTCTGGAGCCCACTGCTGTCTCCCTTGGCTGCAAAGCTGAAGGCCTGAGACCCTTGACAAATGAGAATCAGATTGTGTCCAAAATACATCTCAGCCTCTTGGGGCTGTGTGTAGCCATATAAGGAGCTGGTCAAGAGCTATTTATCAGAGAGGTTCTTGAGGGCAAAGAAGAACCTACAGGGCACTTCAATTAGCTGAGCAGTCCCCAGCTCTGATGTGCCTGCAGCTGTCACCAGGAAGGGGTATCAACTATTCGAGTGGCACTGATACTGTGCCTTCAAATGCAAGGGCTACAAAGTGCCCCCCTTTCCTTCATCAACTCCTTTGAGCATCTTTGCCCATATTTGCCTAGGATCTTAGAACTTTAGAAAATATTAGCATTTAAAAATTGCCAAGGTATTGGCAAGCAGATGTTTTAATCAAAATGTCAAATGAGACTGGCCCATAATCACTGGCCACCACAGCCAAAGACAAGTTAAAAAGATCCTTTGGGAAATCTGTCTGCTTTTTCTACATGATCCCAACAGGAACAGAGAATCTGAGTCATGACAGCTATCCCAGGCCTTAATGTCTTTGTCTGG